TTTCTTTTGCTAGCAAATTATTAGAGAGTGAAAAGATGGATGAATGAGCCTGTGCTGTTCGTGTGGATTGATTGCTCGCCGAACGCTTCGGGTGCGTATCGTTTGTCGTTCACAGACACCAAAATACCAGCAGTAAGGAGAACGAGCAGAACGAAAGGAATGAACGCCATCACTGCTGCGTACATGTACCCCCTCAATTATTTTCATACTTTTCAGACCATTCGATGCTTCTTCAAAAGTAGCTCAAATAATAGCGGTTTTTTCGAATAGTCTTTCACCAATTGAGTTGATTGATTGAAAAATAACTGGTCGATCTCAAATTTGCATGGTCATCAACACTGAATTCAACATGGCATGGTTAAGCATTAGGATCACATTTACCTGATTCATCCTTTTGAAGTCAAACATCGGTACACTGCTAAACATAATAGAATAATCATAATGGAAACCTGTATATGTTGATATACGCGTCATTTAATCTCATTTCTGTAGGGCAAAGTTCGAATCGTGTGATGTTCAGTTCAGGTTGGAAGCAGCGAACAGTTTCGAGCTCTCCGAACAGAATCACATTATAAACTGCTGTGAAAGCAACAGAGGCCCAGATCAATTTTGTGGCGCTCTGCACAGTACAATACCACGACTTTATGGAAACACAATACCTAAAATACAACTATAACTTTGACATATTATCTGTTGTTTGAGAAAAAACGTAAAATGAACTGTCATAATAAAAATATTGATGGAGCAGTTGAAGAATTCAGAATGCTGATTGCAACAAGAACAATGTACCGTGAAACACCTATGAAGCAATCGAGTGCTGCGATTACTGTAATATATACACTCAACATTTGGAAGAACATTGCAAATGGAGTGAACTTCGGTAGCAGAAACACCCATATCTGGTCGACTGTATGATTATACGAACGGAGAGAATCTGCATGAATCACTAGCAGGCCAGTTAGACAAACACCTGGAAACGTCATTGACGCTGAGAATTTATTTACTTATTATTTACTGATATGTTTATTTTATGTATTTATTTGTTTATTTATCTATTTGTTTATTTTGTTTTTTTAATTAATTGTTCATTTATTTAGTTATTCACTTATTTATTTATTTACTCAGCTAAATAATGTACGTTTTGCGCATAATCCTGTTCAAGATCGCTCCGGTTATTACTATTACCACAGTTAATTGCTCTTCTCATCTATGTCTGACCAGGTATTCTGCATATATTGTCTTGCCGTCTCATTTTCGGTCTGCGCCGACTTCTTTTTCCGATTCTAGGCTGCCACTCTGTACACTTGATAGCACAAATGAAATTATTTACACCAGTCTCAGTTTTCATGAAGCAGCGCCATTTTTTGTTGGATTTGTTTTATGTATTCATGTGATTCAGACGGAAACTAAAGAAAATGAAGTATCATCGATATTATCCGAACATAAATTATGCGCAATTGGTTAGAATTGGACATGCATGTCAAATAACGCACACTCAATGACGTGCACATATAAATGATTCAACGCTCAGCAAAGCGTTCGGAATTCTGTTCTATCGTATCATCTTAAGTTTGATGTGTACCGATTGAATAGTTTCGAAACAAATTTCCGATGATAGAAGCATTTTCAGAGCTGAATCGAAATGTTGATTCGAGGCATGAATACGTGGAGAATATACCTCATCCATCTGTTGTTATGTTTCAATGAATTTAGATTTTGTTCACGAAACACTGAATTGGCAGTGGACATACAGATTTGTCAAGATTATTTAGTGACTTTCAAATTTTCAGTCAAAAAATTTTTTGTATGGCTCGATGATTCATCGATCATGAGATGATTAGCGTAAATCAATGTTTTACTGAAAGAAAAACTCGAGAAACACAAACCGAAGTCACTGATGCTGAGCACTGTAAGATAACGATTCGTCGATTGTTTGGGGAGTCGAGAGAAAACACACACCGAGCAAGCGTTCGACGTCAGTCCAACAATCGACATGATGGGAAGAAAAACAACAATAGCATAGAAGTTGAATAGTTGTTCTTGACTAGAGGTGGATGTTGCATGACATTCACACTCCCTCATTAGTGGATAGCTACGAGTTCAATTACATACCACTGATTGAATGCAATATACTTGCTTCACTGAAAGAGAAACATTAATAATCTCAGGCTTAGGATATGTTCCTGAAGTGAATCATTCGTGAACATCAGTGAACTTCTCTTCGAATCAGGTCTATGTCAAATGGTTTAATAACAGTCGATTTACTGACAATGGAATGCCCAAGCTATCTACAAGATTCCAAATGCTTACCATTTCTCATCATAGCATAGTGACTAGTAACCAAGAATTCAACACTGACACTAGTCAGTAAACCAATTAAAGTATCGGAAAACTCAATGGACCATAAAGAATGCACATATATTATCAAAAGCACTTGAAGTAAGTGGGACTTGATTAAATAGCGAACAGACACACATTTGAAATAATGTAATTACAAAATTAATCGTAATTTGTGTCGTAAGCACGAGATTTCGAAAATGTTGAGATGAGGATGATTGAAAGTAACCTCATAATCCCTTGAAGAATCAACCCTTAGGAAGACAGGTGTACCTACGAAAACTGCTGAGCCGACATCAACTGCTTTGAACCGTTCATGCTGTATTGTTTGCAGACTGAAATTGGATCATATGATCAAATTTTGATGGTTTGTTCGAATTTGGTCCGAACTGTGGTATTTGAATCGAATCAGTCAAGTTCACGGATTTGGAAATTTCACAATGAANCACAATGAATATTCAACCATCCGCTGCAGCCCCTTCATGACCTGTTCTCACGTCTTTACGCCTAACCAAGCAGAACCATTACCGACTGGAAAAGTTGAAACACAAAAACCGTAATTCCCACACAAATGAAGTTTTGGAACGATAATGTACAGAACAACATCGAACAGTCGCATGACAGTTGTTTTTCGACATTCTAAAATAGGAATGGAACAAATTATCAACAGCGTTAGGGTAGTATTTGCCGGATCAAGTGGTTAGAAAATAGGAAGCTAATGTCAAACAGAACAGATCCCTCCAAACCAATTTCACACAGGGATATCAACAGTTTATTGACATTACGCTAAAATGTTTTCTCTAGAGTACAAATACAATTCTCTAGTAAATTTGCTCGATAGCTTAACAGTCTTAGATGGAAAATACTTATCATTGAATAATTTTACTTTGCACCATCCTCAAAAATCGCAACTTTCGAAGGTAAAAAGCTGTTCAGAGCAAAATCAAAGCAACCAAATATGCTGAACTTCATTTATATGCCGCTCAATTTATAATGATCCACTCATATCAAGCCCACTCTGATACAAAAACCTTTGAAATGAGCACACATAAGCAAATATATGTAATCATTCAATGTGATCCCTAAAAATGCTCTTCAACTTGAAGTATACGAGTAGCGGACGTATTCTTCGATGTAAATTATTTCTTTGTGAATCAATAAATGAAGATTTCGCAAATCTTTGAGAGTGCAACAATGAAAGTTTCTGTTCACGATTGCAACAGAAGTATACTGAGAAGGAGGTCATGAACTATTTGGGTTAAAGAATTGGATGAAGGAGCAATAATGGGAGGAATGTTTGTCAAGTGCTCATATTCTTCATCAATAATTATGAAGAATTTCCGACAATACATTAGGCGGAAGCAGCTTAGAATGAACTTAAAAGGTCGCTTGTTGGTTCGAAAAATGATATTCAATTTTTAATCCATCTCCTAATGACATCTCTTGTTTCTAATCGTAAACGATGTTTGACTGAAACTAAATTCATTTTCAAAAATGGACGAAGAATTCAAACATGATATTCAAAAGCTTAAGTGCTTTTGAGATTCGAGAACGTTAATAATGCAGCATTCTGATAATAGAAAAATCACATACTCATTTATATGTATGGAAGAAAAGGAAACATCCACCGATGAATAGATACTAGCGAATGAACATCTGCAAATTTTCAGATTGGCCACACGAAAGCACTCGTTAATAATAAGTATCCGCTGTAATAGACTTATGTGTTGTGCGGATAATTCTGAGTATCCGACATTGACGTAATTCTCGATGTACTTGCGACTTTATATGAGAGCAATTTTATTTGCTTGAAAGCATCAGTCGCAAGTTCGGAATTGAAATAGAACGAAGGGAGGAACGAGTGAATGGTATGTTAATTTGATGTCGGACTGGATTACAAACTGCGCTCAGCATCAGTGGAGGTGAGTTGATTATGTTTTTGTATTGCATCGCATCTAGTTGCTCTAATTCAGTCACAATCAATGCGATCATAAAAAGACCTTTTAATCGAATTATTGAACTATAATAGTTCCATGGAGACATGTTATTCATCTTTGTGTTGCTGCGAAATAAACTATAGCAGATAGAAGGATGTTTCAGAGACATCCGTTAGCAGTCAGTAACAAGAGCATTACTCACAATACAATTTTATCGGATGAGAATGAATGCAATGATATGGTCTAAAAATTGATAATATTCGGTTCCTTGCTTTCGAAAAATCAGTTTGGCGACAAAGAAGAGATAGTTTAAAGAGAAAGTCAGCCCAAAGGGGAATCAAAAGTTATTTTCAAACATATTTTGTCGTAAAGCGCACAACATGTGAGTGAGGCAACTAATCTAAATAGTAATTTAAATCTAATAATTATTTGAAAAGGGTTCAAAGCACACTTCGAAAACATCCACCATATATGGCGTAATAACCATCTGTGTGATTCCCAGGTGAACATATTTCCTATTAACTTTTCACTATACTGCAAATATATTATGAAGACATCAAAATTGTCAATACTTCAAAACCTCAATTACCGTCAATTTCATGGAGCAGCGGTCACTAACTCCTTGAAGATGATATGTGTGTATGGATCGAAAATTGGTGAGGAGTTGTGGTGGATGGCATTGCGAATTACATACAAACAATTATTTCTAGGCACATTCATCCATCACTCATTTAAATGTGATGACGTAAGAGGCGAGTCGCAAATGAATTCAAATCAATTGCGAATGAGAATATCCTATGAGAATATGGTAATCCGTTCACTTTAATATGCGACAACTTTACATTAAACGGACGATTTTTGTTTTCTCCAGATGGAATCATAATCAGTGAAAAGAGGTACTATAAAAACAGAAAACAAACAACTAACTCCAACAAACTGGATTCGGTTTTATCAACCCTTTGATGGCCAAAATTTGGCTCGGAGTATAGGCAAGAAAATTTCAGACAGAATGGATGATTTTCACTCGAACAATGACCTAATTAGCTCAGAACGTCGGAATAATTCGCTGAAAGCGTGATAAAAACTTCTCCAGAACTGCAAAAGAAACGGCTGGAAGGCATCAAACAGCCGAAAAACATGAAAGATGGGTCAGAGATCGTTTTTACCCTGGTTGCTGTTAGCAAGGAACATAAATGTTCACATGGGAATCAAAGGCAACACTACCGTCAAACGTTCTCTTCTAGATTAGAAAGCGCATTTGGGGAGCTGTGTTAGTGTCTTAACGCTTTAGACTCAGCCAACAATATTTTTTTTACCTTTTTAGATAAACTTCGAACTTTTAATTATTTCGAAATTCAAATTATATAATTCATGCGGTGCATTTCTCCCGTAAAAAATCGAAATTTACGAAACGGCAGAATTCAGCTGACGTTAATATTGAGAGAAAATGGACTTGAAGCATTGCAAATAAGTGTTTGAGGATCAAGAATTTCGTATTCACATGCAAGTGTACTGTNATTAGCTTAGACCCGAGATGACAAGATGCCTTAGCATAGAATATGCGGTATGCCCTTGCGGCATGATCATTGGCATCATTATATGAAATATTAATTTGAATTTGAATAATTAGCTCCTTGGATTTGTTCAATAATTTGTTGGTTTAGCTCCTTTCTGATTAATAATGAACATACTGGTTCGAAAAAATGTGTTTAAACATGTCCCGCATCGATATTCAATAATTGTTCGATCCCGGGATTGAAAAATCGTCGGCATTTTGCAAACCCTAGTTCAATTTGATCACTGCTGAATTTGACCACGAAGCAAATAAAAGTATTACTCAACATTTGATATTCAGAGCATTAGGTGAAATGTCGCTAGGCAAAATGTCAATAGGCGAAATGTCAATAGGTGAAATGACCGGACACAATTCGAAGCGTACCGATCCATTGCTCGAAGTACTCAAGGTGGTCACCAACGAAGCAATGGTTCACTTTCAAAATAGGGATTCAGCTAATGTGCCTTTTCCAAGATGCTTTTTTACTAATTACCTTCGTTATGAACAACAATAAAGTGCACTGTTTTAGAGAGCGCAGCATACACAACAATCAACGGTTCTGCTTCAGATCACGTAATAGATTGTTGCACTCGATGAATTTTCAACACAGACCCCGAACCCAAACGAAAGTTGATTGAATTTGCAGTTGTTTTATTTTACTGGGGAGAACTCACGTAAATGTCACCTGCTCACAGCAAAAGAAGAAATGAATGGTTGAAGATTAACCAAGTTGCGATTGAAGTGCTATGAGATACCATTATAAAAGTATGCGAAAAATCAAATTAATTCTCCTTAATGAACTTGTAAAGCTGAATTTTGTTGAATACTTACTTTTTATGGCAAAATAGGTCGTTTTTTTGAACACTTATGCAGTAATACCTCATAACACTTCAACCGCAAATTGATCAAGCTAAATTTATTTCTTTCTCATCGTTTCGGTACCGACTACAAAACTGAACCAGACAATAATGCAAAAGGAAACAATCACGGATCAACCAATTTTCATGCAGAACACGACTCTACAAGGTTCATTCAGAAAATTCATTTGTTGTTGCATCTCCCCTGGAATGTTTATTTTTTAGCTCTCAACAAATATTATTTGTAGAAATTTCCGTCGAGCAGCAAGTCAAAAAAAAAACAAAATTTTATGCAGTCATTACTCATACAACGCAAATTAAAAACATCATATTGAAGAAGTGCATGGTTGCATGAAACGCTGCGCGATCGAACGCGAAATTGACTCATTTGTCATTTCTCATCATCACTTGCATCTCAATTCGAAACAACTGCTTGTCAGTAAACTTATCAAGCATACTGCAATATAATACCTCAATTATGATTTTGAGTGTTCAAGATATATGCTGCACGAATCGTTGCTTTTTACTGAGTGATGATGCTGGCTTCCTCGTTGATTAGTTGTCTATTTCACGCTGGCTTCCTCCTTCGTAAATGTTTTCTGCCAGCTTATAAGTGCAGTTTTACTAGAGATGCCAGAATTTTCATTGAAACAAAATCTGTCATATCATTGTCCAGTTTCAGTGCGATGATAAAGAATGTGCATAACAACACTTTAGTCCTCGGATTTAATCGTCTGCATTGCTGGATCGGTAAAGCTGTTTTGCTGATAATAAAAGTCGACTGATGGAAGGTCAATTCAATTCATGGGGCAGACAATCTACTTTGCCTTCTAATTTTAAAAATTTCAATCGAATGAGATTCCAAAGAAGATTTGCTTTGAAGCAATCGTACAAAGTTCACCTTCCAATGAATAATATTTGAAAGAGTCAGCGGAGTTGACGTATTGATGACGTAGTCAAATCTGTGATACACGATCTAAGTTTGGATAAAATTTAAGCCATTTGTTACTGTGCATTTCATTGACTGTTAGTAAATGCTATGTTGCAATTCACTCTATTTCGTTGTCAGATTCAAAGTAAGGTAAACAATGTTGGTTTTATTTGGTCATTGCAGTTTTTTTAGATGTTATCGTGACAAATCAACTATATAATTTAATATTCTATGCAATTGTGGTAAATTCATTTTCATGAATGTTTTATGAAACAATTGCTTTCTTCGATTACTCGTATACGTTTGAGCATTTTCAATCGAACCATCCTAACGATAATCAAACTTGGACCAGCTCAATCGTGCACAGCCTCAATTCATCAATGGTGCACATTTTTATTGCGCCGATGTAAACTGCTCGCTGTGTGAAGCATTGCTGTGAGCGTGAAACATCCACTGTAGTCACTTAAATTTCAATCCGATGAAAATTTGAATCATTGCAAAACACTTTAGGCTCTTTCTTAATATCCAACAGTAAGAAAGCGTTTACGGCGACAAAAAATTGAGCACAAGATACTCAAGAAACTGAGAAAGTGCACATGAGTAATTATGAAGGAAAGCAGAATATGGAGTACGAGTATTGTAGTCGAACTATGGTACAATGCTTTGCGTATGAATATCAGTAAACGAATTGAGGATTTCTTATCGAATGTCGGATTTTGGTTTCATATCAGCACAGTTAGCGTAGCAATGACGATATTCATTCAGTTTCGTTTCTGTGATTGACACTTTGTCATTGGCAAATGCCACCTAAAAGTTGATAAATAAAATTGAAGAGAGTTGTTTCCGGCTAACCAATCAACTACTGCACTATGCTAAATTTTATTTCACTCAACGAAAATGAGAAAGTGATTTAATCTAGCCAGTTCCATTGGAGATATTCTTTGCGTAAATCCCGCATACCTATACTTACCTATATTCTCTCCCGATCATAACATAAGCAACTGGGGATTACGATGTAATTGAATTACATGGCTTTTTGGAAATTAAAACGAAGAAGCTATCCAAAAATGAATCAAACTATAACCATGCAACGCCTTGAAATCACTCAGAAATCACTCATCAACGATTGAGCCTCATCAGTTCGGGTGGGATTTAGGCTTTAGCTTAGGCTCACGATAAGTCTCATGCTCGGTTTCAAAATCACGCTCAGTCTATGAACGGCCTAAACTGGCCCGGCTGATTTTTACAGTTTGCTGCGGCTCTCTTTCCATCATTTTTTCTGCATAGGATCCTTCGAACGTTACAAGTTACCAACAATCCTCTAAAACGCATAGGAATTTGGTAGATACCAACCTCGAGAAGGTGATGACAATCGACAGCGAGCGGTGAAGTGCCAATATCACGAAACACTTCAAAAACATCAGCCGTGGTTCGACATTTTGCCAGTGATGGTACTGAAGCCTCGATTAGTGCAACAGCAACTCGAAATAACACTACATCTCCTTCCAAGAACAAACAGTCCCAAATACGTAAAACACTCTAAAATTTATTCAAAACGTCTTGATTTGCATGGTGTTTTTATCGTAAATTTGATAGGAAAGTGGAAAAGAGGACAACTGGTGACGATTATTCGATTGAGTTCTATTTTAAATCATTCTGAATGGCCTCGTCACTAACATGTTGTGATTTCAGTTATGTCGTTTCCATTGCACACTATTGCTTATTGGCTGATATCTACCATGTTTGCTGTTCAACAACACAACAAATTTCTGAGAGTATATATTCGAAATGAATTGCAGCTTTAATTATTTACTTGTTGAATACTTCTAAAGAAATGAATCAAAGCGAATAACACTCAAAAAGAGCAATGTTACCTCCATAGGTAGTGTCTCAAGAAACCAGCAAAGGAACCATTTACTTAGCATCATCTCCATATCCGTTTCCATCAGACGAATCAGAGCATTTGGCATCATTTTACGATCGCTGAATACGATTTGCTGATATGTGAAGAATTTCTGTAGTATCTGACCACAAAAAGCATTCTTTTTTGTGAAAGTTACAATAACTTTCACAGAACGTAAAATCTAAGCCTTTGTCTTATCAAAAGTAACGAACCGTAGTAAATCCCGTAAAACTTTGATATCAACAATGATGCCACTCATGTCGGATGTGTAGTAAGTTCGTCGTTGTTGAATTGAATGAGTCATCAAACGAACGGTTTGGTTCTCATCATTCAATATCAAGTAGATGAGTGCAGCGATATAATTAAATCCCTTCAAAATACATGGATGTGAATAAATGAATAATGTTGCTATCGATTGAAATTTGCTTTGCCCTAGCGATTTCTCACTTCACGCTAACAATAATCAAATCAGTGCATATGCACTGATGTCTCCGACGGATTCAAATATTTTCTCAAATTTTGCAACTGATCTTATCGTTAAAGAGGTCGAATAACAATAAAATGTTACTGTAGACCTGCAGTTCATCAATCCGCTGCTAGACTCCTTCTAAGCTAAGAGCAAAGTTCCACTTTCTCATTAGTGAGATTTTAAAAACCAACCAGCAAGGAGGTTTATCATGATCAAATATCCAATACAAGCTGATTAAGGCTGTTCTGATTCAGCTGGACATTTCGTTTGTGAACATAAAGAGTGAGAATTTTTTGTGACAAATATTTTAGTTTAAGATTACGCTAAATTCTATATAAAACATTTTCAAACTGTTTCAACAGAATGGTTTAAATGTATCGATCAACGAGGAGGCAAATGTTTGACATGGAATGATCACCTCAAAATTTAAATTAATTGTAAAATAAGTGAAAAAGCACTTTTTTTTNTTTTTTTTGAAAATACCTCAAGATTTCAGAAGTCGTCTACGGAAATCATTACTCCTGATCATGTGGACGATGCTTAATAACAAATCAATACCTGGCAATAGCCTATATCTGGAAAATATTCTGCCACTCTGTACAGAATACGACCAATGATACGATTTCCGGCAGCATTTGATAATCGCTTGTTATCAGGAAACGTTCTTGGTAGATCAAGGCAAATTGCATCAACCACCTGCTTATTGACATCATACTTAGCCATACCGATTTGTGGACAACCTAACATCCATATCTGCAAGGTTGTTTGGTATGTGCCAGGCGAAATTTACCGATTGAAAAAGAAATGAGCGACTGATAGCTATTATGCATATCACTTGTTTTCGCGTTACTCCTCATTACTGGTTGGAAAGGTGAAATGTTCTTGTGTTGATTGATAAAACGAGAATATTTGAAATCAGCTAACCATCGGTCGAAGTCTTGATGGTACGCCTTTATGTACAAATCTTCTTACTGCAACCAAAGTAACATTACGTCAAAGCATCATTCACTGATTACTTTTATTCATTTCCATTTATTATATCAACTTCTACTGGTTATCATCTGCGGTGTCGTAACTGATTGGATTCTTGGCAAAATGTGGTTACTTTAATGAATGCTGGATGATTTCTCATGTGTGTTGTTCTTACCTATTGCAGTAGTCATACCTTTACAACAACATCACTCATACACTCTACCACACGCTGGCACCAAACCACATGTGGTAAAATATACAAAGTGAGAATTTTTTGAAAGCACGATACTTTCCGTAGTTCACTCACTCATCAATGCTTTCGACAACTCACGCAGCATTCATTTTAATTTTAATCGCTTGAACATTATTCAAATACTACTTCTGCAAGATTCATCTGCTAATACAGCCATTCAATACTGTGCCTGAGGTGGAGTAAAATTTAGCACTTCCCAACACAAACGTTTCGACGATACAAATTAATATCAGACTGTGAAGCATTTAGGATAATTTTTGTGACATAGTTTTGCAATGGCATTCCATTAGGTTAGTTAGCAACTCTGCTTTATCAATTTCTTACAGCCTTTTTAGGGCTTTATCAATTCCTCATCTATCAACGGATGGTCTGAATCGATCAGATCACTGATAGCGCCAAAATGAATAAAAAGCGATTGAGATGTTCATCTTTGATAATTTATAACATGACAAACAATTAAACTCACACTTTTTGCCACGAGGTAAACCAACTTTTCGCCATCGACGATCGCGGCGTTTTAAGATCGGAACATAGTTATTCCAAAACTTTATGTAAGCCTCTTTGTCCAAATCATCTGGACAAGAAAATCCCAATGAATCCACATCGCTGTAAATGTTCGGCGTTGAATTCAGAAAAAAAAAACAATCACACTCTATGTAACAATGTTAGCATATTGTTTATTGTTGGAAAAGAAACAAGTCTGAACAAAGCCGACTTTTTCCATATCATTTTCACACCATCTACTCACCACCTATGACATATGTCAGCTAGCTATTCATATTCGAAATTTCGGAGTAATTTCGCATTCAATGCAATCGAGGCTTGAGGAATAAGATTGTTAGTAATGGTCTTCTATAAGAGAATCAGTTGAAGTGTTAAAAATTAAGGTGAGTACCAATTCAAATGCATTATGATTTTATATAGAAAAAATCGCTGATATACATAAGAGTATCAGTTTAAGCAACAACAGCACAAATTGACCATGATGTTTGGATGAAGACGTTGAATAACTGAAGTGATTTGATTAGACGACTACAGAGTAGAGAGTGAATTGTAAAGAAAATGAATTTATTCTTCATGCACGGTCTTGATGAGTCCAAGAACGTATTTCTCCGACTTGGAGAAGTCAAAGGAATCCACGGTTGTACTCATGCTGGTAACATGAGACTGCTTGTTGCTGTTGCCTTCCAGTTGGAACTGTGCCGTTGTCATTTTTTGAGTTTGTGGTACGTTCACAGCACAATGTTTACACAATTTTAAGCATTTTGATAGCAGAGTGAATGATTTCATGTAACACGTGTGCTCAATTACATTACAGATAAAAAGATCGTTATAGCTCATTTATTGCTAAATTTCATGCAATTATGACGTAATCCTCCGACAATATTCCAAATCGTTCACAGAAACACTCTCACTAACTCTACGTATGTACCCATAACAGTTCACGTCATCTGCACAGCTGATTCAGCTGACTATTCGTCGATGATCAAACAAATTTTTCCATTCTTATGCTCAAGCGTGTCGCTTATACACGTCGATAATTTAGCAAACAAAATATTTCACTGATCCTGCTGAGCACCGTTATACTGACTCTATGTATAAGCAATCAAGTAGTTCAGTGAATCCGAAGAATGAAATTCCTTCAGTTTTCGTGATATGTTCGCTTTCTTATGTGCACTGCTTATGAATAGAGCATGAAAGAGAAACGTACTGAAGAAATCAACGATAAGTAAGTGAGTTGCACTTCACTATTGATTGGATTATTAAAATGATGACTAAACGGTTAAAACCATCGTATCAGATTTGAGAAGTGAATTTCAAATGGTGACTGAAGTCATTCGAACTGTCCGTCAACTTCATATTTTCGCTAACAAGACAAAGGTGAGCAAAGTTTCGTTTATCGGTGAGCAATTTTTTCGTTTAAGAATCGATTTGAATACGTTCACAAATCAGCATCTTAGTACTTCTTTCGGCTCGCGCTAATTCGTCAATTCATGAAAATTTTTCTCCAGCCGCGTTAATTCATACAAAATTGTTGCATATCTCATATACCTTATATTACGTACTGCAAATAAAACAGTGAAATCCTGATGGAAAAAATTAGTGGTTAAAAAAATTCCGATGAAAATCCAGCAATTCACCTTATCCACTGATTCAAGCGTCGTAAGCCTGAAAGCAACGACTGCCGTAACTATTTTGTCAACGAATTATTAAATATTGCATTAACATTTTACTTAAATGCCCACCTTTGCTCTAAAATGTTTAGCTATGAATAGAAGTAGATATGAATCTACTCAAGGATTTAATAATACGCATAATCTGCTATGATGATGAAATAACGACGGTAACATAACTGACAAACGATATTCAATGAAATAGAATATCAAGGACAATGTAGTGATTGAAGCATATGCAAACGGATGATAGACTCAGTCAAGGCTACTATTTCAGAGGATGAAGTGTATGGAACTTAATTTTGAACAAAAAGCAGATCATGCGATGAACTCGATTAGGATTTAACGAAAATGCAATGAGCGTGGATGAGTGAAGATTAACGAACAAGAAATGGACCATATAATAAGTTATAAGTGAATACCTACCTTCCAGGTATACCACTGAAATGAAGTGCTGTCATGATGCGACACACGAACCGTCACAATGATAATAAGACAAACACAGCCTGTATCATGCAGTCAAATCAGCATATAAAAAGACAAACAACAACACTTTGTCTACATAGAAGCTGTATCATAATGTGCTCTATCACATTCGTTCTCGTTTCTCTATCATTCAACTTTCTGTCAGTTTGTTGTACGATGTGATTATTACATGTAAATTTTGAATGCCGTAAAATATGTTCGTGACTCAGCAAAGCTAATGATATTTCTTTTTCATTTAAATCTAATCCACATTCATTTCATACGCTGCCACACTAATCGCCGTCAGCCCTGAACGAGAATGGGAATGAGAAAGTGGTCGACGAATAGTGAGATTAGCAGGAAATACACGAGGGATGATGATGCAAGATCAAGACTCATGCTTTCTGCTATTAAATGAGATAGATGTATGTGTTGATGAGTAACGCCTATCAATCTCTGTTTAGATGTTGAATGAACATTGCACGTGAAATCATCAGATGCAACAAGCGTGAAACTCTGATTGATAAGTGAAATAATAGGACTCAAACAGTACATTGTTTTTATTGTCCTGAAATGTGAATTCTGAACAAGCGAACATCTATAAATGTTCAACAAAATCAAATCATCCGACGTTGCTTTTTGAGAAACTGTGAATGGTTACGTTGGTTGTATTGTTTTCATAATGCAAAGTATGAAGAAACAGCTGATTTGGCTTGATTCATCTGTTATATATTTTCACCGAGTGCCATGCAGATCGATCGTGCGATATGTATTAGCATGACAACAATGTATACGGATGGATGTATTTTTGAAAACCTGAAGGAAAGTATCGAATGGGAGGCAAATTTCTGACTGACGATATGATTTTGTTTCATGTAATGTTCGCTCCAATACAAACTGAAGTCCTACAAACGTTTATTTCAGTGTTGAGAGGGATAAGGCTTTTTTTTCATGAATTCAGCTTCACACTCCTGTTTCATTTTTGTTCGGCATTTGTAAACTCATTTTTCTCTAACCATTTTTTCTTCGAACTACGCTTATGAAAACAAAATTTCTCTAATCTTCCGTGAATACCTTCCGATGTTTCAGTGAAAGATTTTTTTTTCATTGTTTCCTTGTACTAACTGCAAACTCTGCCTGAAATAAGTAGTTTGTGATGAATGTCGAGAATGAAATTTACTATATGCAGTTATTCTCTCTATATCATCGGAAATTTGTCGGTGATCGACCCGTTTTACTCATTCGACTTCATCGTATTCGTTTGGTGATCGTCAATTTCGCGAAATTTTCACCCCTTTTTAAAATTCCACTGATCACAAATTTTAAATTAAACTTCCAACGGTGAAACTACTTCGTTTGATGTTAAACTTTTTGAGAAGTGTTTCGAGTCAAATTTTTCATATGTGATAGCTTCCTTGATGTTTTGATGTTTGGATCCGCAATTAAAATTTTAATTGAGATTTTATGCTAATGCATCGAACATGAGCAGGGAGGGCTGCATAATGGTTATTTTTGTGCTCGTTTAGTTCGAAGAAACGTTCCCTAAACTTGGTAATTTTATGAGATGTGAAAATGCGGTGATCAACTGTGCAAGTTGAAGTATATGGAATGAATTTGTGAAAATATGTTATATGAACGAGTGAATAACGATATTTTTCGACTAATCAAGTATTCATTTCACACTGTGGTAATATCAGTATTTGCCCAAATACTGATACTATCACAGTGTGAAAGGATCACTGTAACTAGTATCAGTCAACACTAGTTACACTAATTTTAAACGGCTGTTGACTGTGACCCTATTATTATAGCATTTTTGCTTTGATTCATGAGAAATCTAATGACTAATAATGTAATGCGTATTTCTAATTATTTGCACACAGATTAATTCTTGAGCCGTTCCTGTTCCTCATTGTTAGTTCTCCTCACAATAGTGAACCTTTTGCAGAGGACACTTTTTTGTATCTCCGAATGCAGCCGTCATATGCATTTCGCACTTGTATCACATCACATCACGTTGCGCAACAGCGATGATTCTAAAAGCTTTAAAACATTCATTTGAGCCAATATATATCACACTTTCCGCTTAAACCAGTGGTTCCCACGCTCGGGTATTCCAGTACCCTCTTCGATGGTCTTGCAAGCCGTCATTACCTCCCCCCCCCCTCTCCCATCCCCCTTTTGCTACAATAGTTTGCTGTTTCTGCGCTAATTTCCTGTCCCCCTCCATTACACTCCTGACACCCCAAAATTTCCCAAAAATGAGTAATTTCCCTGTCTATGGAAACCTCTGCCTTTAAAAGTTGCTTTTTCTATACAGAACTTGTGACCATTCCATGAAAATATTCGCGTTAGTAACCCTTTAATATATCATTTTAATATGTCGTTAACACCCCTTTAATTCCATAAAAGCACTGCACGGACGCTTTTCTTCATTCACATTGGAGGAAGCATCTATGTTCAAGTTATGCACAAAGAATCCAACTGTGCTCGGTTCACAGAAACGGCAAGTTGTGAAATGCGCACGGATGCCCTCACGACAGTTTCTTCTTGAATAAAATAGCTGATTATTTCAGTCTTCGTTTTCTGATCGTCACTACAAGTAGCTGCTGGATACTTTCCTGAATTTGGATGGTTCTCATATTGATACGTTTTATATTTCGTAATTATATTCCGTAAAATTGCTTCCTTTTGAGTAAGAATAAGAGCTAGAGGATTGCAACAATACGCGTATGATAGAGCTAGACAGACATGAGCAATTAAATGCTAATAACGCAATAGCTGCTGCTATTTTGATTAAAGGTGACACTTGGTTGACTGCATTGTGCAGCGTGAAATCAAGTTAAATTCACAAATCACACAGTTAATGGCACTCACTTTAGGCGATTTCTTGGTGGTAGAAGTAAATGCAGTGGTGTTGATGATTGATTGGACGGTTGTTTTGGGTGATGGCATGTTGATGTCACAAAGGGAAGTGTATGTGAATTGAGAAATTGAAACGAGCAAGAAAACGTGTATTGACCGGGGGTAAAAAATCACTTGAAAAATGAATTGGGATTATTGCCTTGTTCATCATTTGAGCGCAATAAATGTTGTACGAAAAATGACAACTAAACGATTAGACTGAGATTAGTGTGATGCAATTGAACTGAGCGTGAATGAAAAAAAAAGTTACTGAATTGAGCTGTTTGACGATTCGATGAAATTCTCTTCAAATCATCGACAAAAAACACGAACATCTGCTTCCTCAAATAGCAGCCGCTCATTGATTACATTCGAATTCTATCAAATAATGACAGATCTTATAGTTGAGGCTGAAGCTTTCGAATAAACACATGAACTCACTATACAAAATGACTTCCGTTTACCTAAATCCAATAGCCTGTCATTTAATGTGGGCGTGTAAAAATTTTGTTTCTTGTTCTGCATCATCTTCTTCACTAATTTAGCAAATAAAGTATGATTTTGTAATGAAAACGGTCAAAAAATATCAAAAGTGGATAAGCCCATTCTATTGCAACGACGAAGTGATCATATCTCTTTTTTATCACATGTTCAGAATTGTTATACTTCTGTGCTCAAGACGGGGTTTTTGTTGAACGCCCTTCGATACAAACACTACGACGCCATCAAAACATACCAATCGGATCAACTTAATGGATCATGGCAACTGATGACAAAGACCTCAGTTGAAGACGGATATGGTGAATTCTTTTGCATTTATTGCCAAATCGTGAACGTAGATTGTTTTTTTTTTGTCGCTTTGTTGCAATCGATTCAATAAAAAAGTGCATTGT